ACCGTACTCGAATAATCGCAAATCATTCCGAAAGACTTCATTTTTTTAAATAGGATTTTCGCTTCGGTATAAAGCGCTGAAACGGCAACACTGCTCCCTACATCCGTAAGCTCATCATCAGTTGAAGTGAATCCCTTAAGGCGACGATTTGCGAATTTAATGTTCGAATAATTTATACATATATAGGGCTGTCAGACTTCCCGGTTTTCCCGGACATGTCCCGGTTTTAGACTATTTGTCCCGGTATCCCGGTCCAACCTTAAAATGTGTCGGGTTTCGTTTTAGTGTCCCCGTTTTTGATTTGATTGCACAAATTTGAATAAAAGTTAAAAATCCCTACACTAAGAGAAAATACGGGTTGTAATATTCAGAAAAATGTTATGAATTCACTGAGGGAAATAACGCATAGTAAACATGAATATTTTTTATTTGATTATCGTTTAAAAATGTTCGTATAATACTTTCATAACACGCATGCGTGGTGTTGATTCAAACTCAACATTTAAATGCACATTTGCATGTCTGGCTGTAGCTGAGTGCGCGAAGATGCTTGCCACAATTTGCTAATTTCCAGAGGGTAAGGGTTCAATTCCCATTACAACCAGCATGGAACTTAAATATTTGTTTAACTTAATTATGAAAAAGCAATCGGTAATTGCAAATCGCTTCATTTTAATATAGGCGTATTTGAATTGAATATTTCTTTACTAAATACTAAAATTTGTATACTTAATAATTACTTACTAAATTTATTTCTTTAAGTGCACCGGTTTAAAGGCCTGTATGCAGTTCTCAAGAAAAGCTAAAATTCCATACAAAATGACATACAAGAAATGGCTAAACAATTTTCTTGAGTCAAATTTACTTAAACCAGTACGCAGTTCTCAAGCAAAGTCCTACACTTTCTACTACCTTTTTTCTAAAGAAATTTTAAATTGCTGAACAGCGGAACCCTGATTTTGCGAAGGAATAATGACAAAGCATTTATTTCTTGAAGAAAACAGCCGGACCAAAGTTGTAATCTAATTATCAGAAATGGAAATCGGCGCAAGCTCGTCCAAGCGGCAGAAACGAATTCTGCACTTTACGGCAGAAGAAAAACGGAAATTAATTTCCGCAGTGAAGGAGAATGCGAGGATCTGGAATATTAGCGATCCGATGCATTCCAACAAAAATGCGGTGGACCAAGC